CACACAATTATGAAAGCTGGCAATTCCCAAGATCTGTAGAGCAAGTCAGCAAGCTGAAAACCCAGAAGAGCTGATGAGGTAGTTCCAATCCAAAGGCTTAAGACCAGGGAAGAATCAATGGTTCAGTGTGAGTCTGAAAGCAGGAAAATGTTCCAATTTAAAGTCCATCAGGCAGGAAAAATTCTCTCTTACTCTGGGGAGAGTCAGCCATTTTCTTTTCTATAGAGGCCTTAACTGGTTGGATGAGACTCACCAACACTAGAGAGGGCCATTTGCTTTAGTCCATCTGTTGACTTAAATAATAATCTCATGTAAAACACTCTCCCAGAAACACCCAGAATCATGTTTGATCAAATATCTGAGCACCCCATGACTGAGTCACGTTGACACCTAAAAATTAGTCCTCACAACAGGGAATAGTCATTTTGTTGGGAAATACACATTGGTGCATTTTAGAGCCATGATGTATGAAATTTTCTCTCAAATACTTCAAATAAAAAATGCTTTTGAGAAGGAGAGAGATAATCAATAATAAAGGAAGGAAATTGGGCAAAATGCCGATAATAAACGAGTGAAATGCATATTCCTTGAACCTCTTAACCTGAATTTCCTGTAAATTTGAAATTGTGTCCAAAATAGTTTCCCATGCTACTCAGGATGAATCTGACTTTCCTTACTTGGCCTTCTGGGCAGGAAGCAGCTCCTAGAAGCTCCTAGAGGAGTCCAAGTCAGAAAGAGAAAAATATTGTCTATTAACTCATATATATGAAATCTAGAAAATGGCACAGATGAACCTCTTTGCAGAGCAAGAATGGAGATACAGACATAGAGAACTGGCTTGCGGACACAGCAGGGGAAAGAGAAGGTGGGGCAAATTGAGAGAGTAGCGCTGAAGCATATATACATTACCATGTGCAAAACCAACAGCTAGTAGGAAGCTGCTGCAGGGAGCTCAGCTCAGTCCTGTGATGAACTAGAGGGGTAGGATGGGGTGGGGGGTGGAACAAGGTTCAAGAGGGAAGGGCTAAATGTAGACAAATAGCTGATTCACATTGTTGTCCAGCAGAAGCTATTGCAAACACAGCGTAAAACAATCAACCTCCAATTTAAAAATTTTTTTAATTAAAAATTTTAATAAAAAAAAAAGAGTTCAAGTGCTTGCTGTCCGTAGAACTTCACACTTGCATACTCTTCAGCTGAAAGCTCCTCCCCGCTCTTCACACGGCCACACCCTCTCATGGCTCAGGTGTTTTGATCAGATGTCACTTTCTCAGCGCACCTCTTCCCCAAGGAGCCCATCTTCAGTCCTGTTGCTCTATTTCACTTTTCTCTCTGAACCGAACCATGGTTACTCACTCCTTAACTTGTTTTATTGCACCTCACTGGGACATACATTTGAGAAGGGCAGTCACTTCGTCCATCCTGTCTCCAGGGAAACTGGAGAGAGGAGGCTGATTGTTGCACCTTCAAACATTAAAAAAGATCTTTTATTTTTAACCAGAAAAAGAGCTCATGATTGTCAGAGGTAAGGTCTCCTCGATGGAGTAGAAACAACGTTAGAAATAACAATGACAGCATTTGCCTCAGGATAGGTACCAACTTTTAACATTTTGATTTAGTTTGGGAGCGTTTTGGTTTTTTATCCCATACCTATGGTTCAGCTGGTGACTCACACTTCTCAAGAAGCCACGCGTTTCTGTAGAAGGCATTCACTCCATACATTCCCTAGGGGTAAGGGCCAAGCTATTATACCAAAATCCTCTTCTACCCAGCAAAAATAAAAGCAAAATTCCAATTTCAGCATGCTTTAATTAGCAGGCTGTAAATCGTTTCAGTATTTAAAGCATGCACTCTGTGTGTAGCGATCACCTAGTGATGAGTCAATTTGCACCTTCTTACGAGTCCTCACATCGCAGTAGCTGTACCAGTGTAAAGGGGTTCTCACCGTTTTTACAAAAAAGTCTAGACTTTTCCAAGTTCCATGCAGTTAGGTAAAAGTGCAGCCTCTGGGAGGTCTTCTTTAGGTGCTATGTCCTGTGTATTTCATTCTCCTGCTACTCACTAGGCAGCATCCCATACAGTCCCTATGGCAAGGACAACACTTACCTACCTATAACTGAGTTATTTTGTATTTGTAGTCAGTTTTAAAATTTGAAATTATCACTGGATCATGATTTTGTGAGGGAACGAATATACTACTCTTGGTCTCCTCCATAATGGGATGTTTAACATTTCCTAGCTTAAGAAAACACTGAATTGTCAAGCCAATCCTTCTTTTTTTAAAAAAATTATGAGAAAATTTGTATGGAGTAAAAGTTGCCTTTTTAATGTATAAAACCACGAATTTTAACAAATGTATGTATTAATAGTTGTATAAGCATTACCATAAACAATGGGCTTCCCAGGTGGCACAGTGGTAAAGAAGTGCCAGTGCAGGAGGTTCAAGAGACAAAGTTTCGATCCCTGGGCCCAGAAGATTCTCTGCAATCGGAAATGGCAATCATTTCCAAGATTCTTGCTGGGAAAATTCCATGGTCAGAGGAGCCTGGCAGGCTACAGTCCACAGGGTCATAAAAGAGTCGGCACAAATGAGAAACAGCACCAGCGGCAGGGCAGTAAAGGTATAGAACCACTCAGTCTCCTCCAAAAACGCCTTCGTGACTCTTTGAAGTTAGGCCTTCCCTTCACTCCTAGCTCTGGGCAACTGTTGATCAAATCTAATCTTTGTACTGATATAGGAATACATTCAGGCTTCCCTGGTGGCTCTAAAGAATCCGCCTGCAATGCAGGAGCTGCATGAGACATGGGTTTGATCCCTGGGTCAGAAAGATTCCCTGGAGGAGGGCATGGCAACCCACTCCAGTATTCTTTTTTTTTCTTCATTTATTTTTATTAGTTGGAGGCTAATTACTTTACAATATTGTAGTGGTTTTGGTCATACACTGACATGAATCAGCCATGGATTTACATGTATTCCCCATCCCAATCCCCCCTCCAGTATTCTTGCCTACAGAATCCCCATGGACAGAGGAGCCTGGCCGGCTCCAGTCCATGGGGTCGCAAAGAGTTGGACATGACTGAAATGACTTAGCACAAACTCAAGCATGAACACATACATCGTACCTCACTCTTTCACCCTAACAGAAGTAAGACTTTATTAGAAGGAATTCAAGGGTCAAAATGAGATTTCATCTGCAGAAAGTGAGAAAAGGCAAGTTAATAATGATGCCCTTATATTTGTTCTCATCATATGTTATGTTTATTTTCTCTGTATTTTCAATATGCAGAACTCAGTTAATAAAAAAAAGGATAATTTATATGTCATGATAGATAAGCTAAAAAAAAAAAAAACAAACCATTTTGGTGCCCGTGGTGAGCAAATGTCATTTCCATAACAGTATCTAAATTATTAATTAGCTTATATTAACCTTCTGAAGTGATTGATACTAATTAACAAACCATTCTCTTAATCAGGGATATGAAAATGGTCTCAATTTGAGTCCTGACTAATTGGTAGTGGCTGCCAAGAGCTGTAGGTTACAAAGCATTCTGAGGCTTAATAGGAAATTTTAATATGAAACATCTAAGTCTTAGAGATGATTAAACATTATAGATGTATTATCTTAATCCTACCAAGAAGCCCAGGAGAATGTTCCTCTTGTTATCCCTAGGCCATGAGAGGGGAAACTGAGTTTAGAGTGATTAAATAACGTATTTAAGGTCCAACAGGGGAGAGGTGATGAAGGTGGGATTTGAATCCATTTAGTCAAATTCCAAAGGTTAATACTTATCAACTTTGCCACTTTGCACCCAAGAAATTAATCACACAATGTATGTGTATGTCTGGAAGATCATGCATTTTTCTAAGGAAGTGAATCTGGAATGAAATTTGAAGTACGTATTGAATAGAGACAGAGGGGAAGCCACAGAGCAAGGAATAGCTTTAGGGGCAGAAAGTAGAGCAGGTGCAAAGGCCCAGTAGGTGGAGGAGCAGGAGCACCGAGGAAACTGACGTGCCGGTCTGCCCGCGCAGAGCCCAGGGGAAGAGACCAGAAGAGAGGTCTGCACACTAGGTCACTACGGCAGTGACAATGACCTTGACCTTCCTTCCAAGGGCATTGGGAAACTCCAGCATCATTTTAAGCTGTCTGGTGGTACAATGTAGGCTTTCAGAAGGTCACTCTGCCTGCGGGAGAGAGGCTTATTCACACGGGTAAGAGAGATGGAAGAGCATTGCAAGCCATCCAGTTCGAGACAGAGGCTGTGCTAACCAGGTCTTTTCACTTTCTGTATTCTGATACCTGGGCATCTGGCGCTGGTTGATCCTGGTGGACTGCTTTTCCCAGGACTAACTAATTCCTAGAGATTGACAACAACTGGCCTTCAAGCATAGCTTTATATGAAAACCAAACTGTTCAGAGCCAATGCCCCCAATTGTCTTTTTTTTTTTTTTTTAAATCAAGCTCTTACAATCTGGGCCAGTATCCACCTACCCTAGTCACCCCAAGGCCAGGTACCATACAACCAGATAGCCCCAGGGCCCACTGAGATTCTGCAACTAGCTAATCCTAAACCTGCTTACGCTGCCTTGCCCATTCCCTCCAGTGGAAACCACAGTAAAGGCTTCCACCATGTTCTATCCTCTCTCCTCTGCCTCCTGACAAACCCTGGAGCTTCCCTGTGTGGCCTCCACATGCAATAGGATGCCCCTCTTCTGTGAGTATAGCAAGCTAATCTTTTCAATGGCAATTGTCTCCTGATCCTTTGGCCTTGCTGAACCTTAAAAACAGTAAAACTACATTTTAAAACAGTGGCATATGAGAGAAGAGGACACATCTGAGAGTATTATGGACCAATAGGACATTGATGTGATTGATTGTATATTCCAGACAGTAGATGTCTAGAAGAAAATCAAGATTTCTCACCTGCAGGCAGAGAGAAATAATAGCAAATGCTTACACAGCATTTGTGTTATTCCAGGGCCTGTTCATTCAATTCTCTTTAAAATTTTATTATTCCCATTTCACACAAGCTGAATCAGAGACATAGAGAAGTTAAGTAATCTGCTGTGGCAGAGACTAGCCAACTAATATCCATCTCCTCTCTTTTGCTTCCTGGTTAGGCAGCTGGGTTACATTTTTCAGCCTCTTTTGAGGCTAGGTGTGGCCAAGTATCGGAGTTCTGGCTGCGAGAACATGGCTGGGGAATGGTGCGCAGCACTTCTTGGCCTGGCTCATTAAATTCTCCCAAGTACCATCCATCCTTCTTGTGTAATGAATGGGCTCTGGAAGCTTCCTGTTGAAGATGGTGAAGCCATGAGTTAGATGGAGCTTTGGGCCCTAAATCGAGGAATAACAGACTTTTTCTGTAAAATACCAAAAAGTGAATACCTTTGAGGACCAAGAAGCACAGAACTGCAGATATTATGTAGCTATTTACATCTATAAACACTTAAAATGTGGTAATTTAAAAACATGACTGACTCATGCTGATGTATGGCAGAGGCCAACACAATATTGTGAAGCAATTTTCCTTCAGTCTAAAATAAATAAGATTGGGAAAAATAAAAGAAAATGCAAGAACTATTCTTAGCTAATTGGTTGTACAAAACATGTGTAGCAGGCCAAATTCAGTCACAGACCTTAGTTTACCAAGCTTACCCTAAATCGTTGCTTAAAGGAAAGCCACTTGCTATGGAAAACTTTCTGTGAGTTTAAAATAGACTACTTGTGTGTGCAGCCCCTGAAACTTGGGGGCTGTTTGTTCCAGCAGTTAGCCTCCCATAACTTATCCAAGGCCACAGAACTAGGAAGTAGCAAAGCACAGATTTGAACTTGCTGACATTGCACGAGGCTGCCTCTTGAGAAAAAGGACAAGCCTGACTACTGACATCCATCAAGATCTGGAAAGGAGCTGAGGAGACTCACATGCTTCATACTGTCAACCCTGTTCTGCATCTTGAGTTAGACAGAAATGCACAGATGCAAGCAGTAAGAGTTCTACGTTACACAACTGTGCCTTGAAACCCCACCACAGGCTTCCCGGGTGCCTTAGATGGTAAAGGATCTGCCTGCAATGCAAGAGACCCGAGTTGGATCCCTGGGTCAGGAAGATCCCCTGGAGAAGGTGATGGCTACCCACTCCAATATTCTTGCCTAGAGAATTCCATGGACAGAGGAGCCTGGTGGGCTATAGTCCATGGGGTCACAAAGAGTCAGACACGATTGAGTAACTAACGCTTTCACTTTTCACCCAATTTAACAGAGATCTTGCTTGATGGTGGCAAGGATGATGGCTTGTTTCTATTCCTTCTAAGAGTAGGACTAACATTTTGAATCTTACAAATATCCCGCAAGTGCCGTTTCTTCAAACTCCGACTCTCTCCCTGCCACCTTCTCAGGAGGGTCCCCTAGTGCAGAGTCCACCAAATCTGGAAGCAATGCTGCACTTTTCTTGGGAGGAGGGGAGATGGCGAGACGTTTAGGGTTGGCTCTGGGGCCTTCCATACTTTCCAAGGTTTACATTCCTTAGAGAGTTTTGACACCTTATTTAATATGACTAAAAAAAAAAAAGAAAGAAATTTTTTCCCTGGAACTTTACAGAAAATAAAAATGAAAAGGGATCATTCTGGTATAACTTATCCTAAACATGTCCATGTCCAAAATGTTGAATGGTACACAGTGTACCTAAACAATTGGCAAGTCTTCCTGGTATAAGTTTGGAAAGAAAGAAACAGGCATTCCAAAATACCACTCCTGCTCATTCTTGCCATCTTTCCCCACCAAGCAGGATTTGTTTACACTGGAGTTTATAGTTACCGGTTGGCCTCAAAATAGATATTTTAATTCTGAGATCTCACTCATGGATAAAGAATGCAAAAAGGAGGTTTCTGTGGTGATGTTTGCATTTTAAAATTAAGGGTGCAGTTAATTTATCTCTCTGGTCCATCTTGGGGAAAAGAGAATGATTAATATGAAAACAGAGGTTGTTAGAAAATAGTTAATAAGTGTTTATTTTGGAATCTCCCTTAGACTCTGCTTTTTCCTTAGACACTGCTTTCTTTTCCTTAGACTTTTACTTTCAAAGATGAAAGATGTTATTTTTTTTTAATCCTGGACCCCTAGTGTTATAAAGAGAAACAAATGATGATCTATATCTATATCTATATAATTTGCTCTATTTGTGAATACTCCATTATTGGTTCTTGTGGTTTGGTTCTGTTACACTAAACTCTAGAAATGCAATACATAGTAAGTTGTCTTATATAATGCAAGTAGAGCTAGTAGTTGATTAGTTAATTTTAAAAAGTCAAAGCATTATAAAAGTTAATAATTATACCTTTAAATATTTCCTTTTAACTTAGTTAAAAATGCTCATACATTTATCTTTTAGCATATGAAAATGTACCATCTTTCTTTTGAGTATGAGTCTGTTGTTGGAAATCTAATCAGGTAGTTTAAATAAAACCCAACCATAATAAACTAAAATTCCAACTTCATTTAAAGAGGAATGAGAATTCAAAGACATTCAAGAATCAGTTGGAGGGCAGAATCATTTTTTAGTTTTTATTTTTTTTTGACTCTTTAATAGTTGTGTCGACCACACATAATTTAATGACAAATTTTAGTGACTCATCTTTATTAAGTCTTTCTAAAGCATTTAACTTTGTCGTCATTGATGTTAGTACTCTCCCTTTTTGTACTCATACTTCATAGTTTTATGGGACATTTAAATTATGCAACTTCAATAATCCACAAAACTTGCACAAACTGGTTTGGGATTAAATTCAACTTCATGTAATTCAACTGGTAACAGCAAAAATGCTCAGATGTATTGGGAACAGCTTTGAACATTCAGCTTGGTTTGTGAAGAGAGTAAAGAAATGTCACTTTTATGAGTTTATAGGTAGAGGTCAATTTGAAGACCTTTGGATATGTATGTAAAGTAATGTTTGCATGTGTGTAAATTTTACAAATCTATGTTATCACACCAAATAAATATAGAAACAGGGAGACTGCATGGATGACAATAATGAGTCTAACTTGGATTTGAACTTCATCATTTTAGTAACAGCAGACACAAAGTAGTAAAATAGTAGTTATTGTCAACTTTTTTTCTTTTTTCAGGACTATAATTTTTTTTTTTTGTCTTCACCACATAGTTTGTGGAATCTTAGTTCCCTGACTAGGGCTCTAACCCGGGCCCTTGGCAGTGAAACCGCAGAGTCCAATCCACTGGATCACCAGGAAATTTCCTGGCATCATACTTAAATAGTAGTAATCTTCTTAACACACTATGGGTGAGTTTACATATCAGCAACTATAATCAGAATAGACTTCTAGAAACTGTCAAATGCTTTGAAAAATCATTTCAGATATAAAACTCAAAATGATTCTGTGAAATTGACGATGAGAATTTTAGAATAAATAAATACATTTCTGATGAATTTCTATTTATCTCCCCCAGCTTCAAACAGACCAATGGTTCTTAATTGGGGCAGTATCACACACATAAACACCCAGTGCCTTTCAAAAATATATGAAGACTTGTCCATTGCTGCTATAATTGCAGGGTATCTTGACTGCAGTGTAACACTGACATTTAGTAGACCAGCTTCTGGGATGCTGGGGTCCCAGCTGTGTGTAGGACAGTTCTGGACAACTTGCTAATATCCCTCCAGAGGAGATACTCATTTTTTTTTTCTTTTTCCCAGAGGAGTCATTCATGAAAGTGAAAGATCTATTTAGATTTATGATTTATATGAATCTAGAATCTGTTTTATTTTAAAGACAAATTGGGGATGGAATAGATCTTTAGTAAGTCGTTTCTGCTATAAGACGTGTTTCTAAAAATCATCATGCTATGCAAAATCATGCAATAAAAAACACAGGGCTCATGAGGAACACTATATTCAACACATAAATAAAAAGATGGGATCCCATTAAAAGTAGTAGCATAGTTTTATACATGGTAAATGGTTAAGAAATATACAAGAACTACAATAAGTACGGGGGGAAAAAAACCCTAAAGTTCACTAGTGGAAGCGAGCAACAGAGGAGTCGACATTTGTGAGTAACTGTGAAGTGGTGGAGGGTTATCTGAAACTGGATGGAAAGCCGCAGCCCCATTCACTACGTGTCCGGGTGTGGTGAAATGAAGTAACTGGTCTGTGTCTGGTGTGTTCATTTGCATGTGTGTGTACTCCTGAACGTGAATCATTCAGAAGAAGTGCACTTCTCTGGGTCTGCCAAGTGTTTCTCGCTGAAAATGTCCAGCATAATCAGCAAATGTATTATGCTCAGATTGTTCCTTAATATGTCAATTGCTTTGGAACAAAGTTTAAAGCAAATGTCAGAGGAGAACTATGACTTGTTCTAGGAAGGCAGCTACCATCAAGAAAAATGTGGGTTTTGTTTGGTTTGGAATTTTCCAAGATTTGTTCACCATTTCAGAACATCATATCCTTTGGGCAGTTAAGACTTGTGGTCCGTGAACTCCCCAACATGATATCCTGGTATGAGTCTGCACTGGCAGCTGTCATATTCCTGGTGATCTGTGTAGAGGAGCAGGTACCAAACTATGTCACTAGATCTTCTACTGTAACCTTTAACTGGAATAGTTAAACAGCATTTATCTAATGAATAAATAAAATTACCTTAGAGATTACGTTCCTGTCATTTCTCCCTTCACATACAGCTAGAATATTATATTGAAAAATTTGAAATGTTATATAAAGGCCAATTATGTTATATAAAAGGGGCATGATAAAACATGTATCAGTAAAGGAGAGTGGCACTGGGTTTAATAGGACTGTGAACCCCTGATATAGAGAAACTTTAAAATTAAAAAAAAGGGAAGGTGGCATATTCATGGAAGCATATCCATGAATAAATGTGAGGATTAAAGGAGATATTCCTGAACATATGATAGGTTTAAATAAATGACTGGTGGTATTACTACTATTTTTGATACCGTATTAGAAGACCCACATATCCAGTCACTCCTTGAATCTTTCCTTATGGATGCCTCACATGGACCCCAAACTCAGACCAGGGTCACCAAATTCAGTAACTGCCCATTACTCCCCTAAACTTGCTCCTATCTGGATTTAACCTTGTAGTGAAAAGGCTTCATGTTTAACCTAGTAGTAGCCAGCTAGCCATGGAGCATTATATGTGACTCTTCTCCTTTCTGAGAGGCCTATATCCAATAAACCACCCTTCCCATAAATTCTAGTCCCTCTGCATATTTCAAATCTATCTGCTTTTCTCTCTCCTGCCTACTACCACAGTATGTCAAGCTACCATCATCTCCTATGGAAATAGCCTCCAAGCTAAGCTCAGTCTCCTCTCTTTATCTCCTCAGATCTCTCCTCTCTTCACCATCATCCAACAGAAACACAGTAAGACTTCTATGCAATTTTCAATTTTCTGGACCAACATTTAGAAAAGGAAACGTGGGCCATCAATTTTAATAGCAATTTATTTAACTTACTATATCCAAATGCTAATCATGTCAACATGCTACTCATACGAAAAACTGTAAAAGACATTTGGCCTCCTCCTTCTGCCATGTCTTCAAAGTCTGGCATGTACTTTATATTCACAGCACTTATCCCTTTGGACCAGCCACATCTCAAGTACAATTTGAGAAGATGTTATGCTATGCTATGAGACTCAGTATACACTCTCTGGTAACCAGGTCTGACAATGCGACTGGGCTTGAGTTGAATTGGGAAATACACTACAGTCCATCCCTTTACACCTTGGAGAAGGAAATGGGAACACACTCCAGTGTTCCTGCCTGGAAAATCCCATGGACAGAGGAGCCTGGTGGGGTACAGTTCATGGGTCACAAAGAGTTGGACATGACTGAGCAACTGATCACATCTCTTTACAAATAGGGTTCCACAAGAAGAGTAAGCCCTGATGCCCGAAGACATTTCATATCACAAATTAACTTCTCTCCTATGAGAGTCCTCAAACTTCCTCTTTCTAGCTCTCCAAACACATACACCTTGAGGGATTTCATCCAGTTCAGGGCTTAGCTATCATTAAGTGACAAGAAGGGACAAATCAACCTCCAGTGTGGGCCTTTCTTGAGACCACACTCCTTATGAACTGTAGTGGGAAGCTCAATTCCTTACCTGCATTTTCAGATATCTTATAAATCCAGGCTTTTTCTTGGTTAACAAGACCACCACTTTCCACTGCCCTGGTTAGAATTCTGGTCATCTTTAGGTTCTCCATCTCTCTCTCCCCCTGACATCAAATCAGTCACTAGTTATGATCAATTCCTCTTCATTAAGCAAAACTGTCCCTTCTACTTCCATTGTCTGTTTGGATTGTTGCTGTCCTATTTCCATGGAAACAACATGACTTCATAATTGTCCCAATTGGTGTCCCTGCCTCCACTCCCTCTCAACTCGATTATTTTCCTTGCTGCCACACGGATATTTTTCTAAATAATAACAAAGACACTAACAATGGCAATGCCACTGTCTTGTTTCAATCTTCCCTTGGCTCCACTCCTCATTGCTTACAGGGCTAGATCTGAGCTCCTTGGGCTGGATTAGGATCTTGGGTTTTGACCTGTTTTTCCAGCTTAACTACGTCCACCCTGTCATAGACCCAGACAGCCAGCTACATCTAGATTTTCTCCATTCAGTCTTACACAACATGATCACGATTATCTAACATGCCGCTTTCCAATTTATTTTTATGCCCCACCTCTACTGGAATGTAAACTCCATGAAGGCAAGGACCTGCTGTGTTTTGCGTAGTACCGTGGACCTAGCACACAGAACAGTGTCCCAGTGTCCATGATGAAGTTTATCTATTGAAAAGTCAATAAATTGTTCTGAGATAGGATGAGACCTGAGACCTGGGACGGTTCGCTCCAGTGCTTGCCGTTGAACAAATGCCTCGAGCAACGAAATACAAAGATGTTATAAAGGACTGAAAATAACTGCGTGGACAGCTGGGGCAAATTATGGAGAACAAGGTGCAGAAAGACCAAGAAGCCCAATGGCCACTTCTGAAGAGCTGGGACAAAAGCAGGGAGTTGGGAGCCAAAGCAGAGTGCTGGGCATACCCTCTGCACATGACCACGGAAGGGGTGGGCAAACGAACGGAGCCACCATTCCAACCTGCCCCCTGGACCCACACCCACCCTCACCTTGTACAAGGAACCCGCTTGCTCCCCCTCAGCAAGTGGGCAAGCAAAGGCACCCGTTGGTTCGTCTCACCTCCGTGCTGCAGCAGGTGCCCCCAGTGAAGTCTTGCCAGGATTTCTTGTCTGAACTCAGCAATTTCTATCGATTAAGAAGGCCAAGAACCCTGGTTGGTAATGCTCCAGGACCAACTCTGCAAAGAAGCCTGCTCCATCCTGCCTTCCATTCTCAGCAGGGTATTTGATTCTTTGCAATTGCAAAATACTTCAAATGTACCATTATTTTAGCACTAATAGCATACTGCACACCTTTACTCACATATCATCTCTTTTCTTTATTTGGTCTCCTTGATGGCAGGAATACTCTTATCCACCCTAAATGTGCATTATAGCACCCAGTTCATGGTAGGCATTCAAAAACTGTTTTATGAGCAAGTGAATACATGAATTAGAGGAAGAAGCAGAGCATTTGATTTGACTCGGGATCACACACACACACACACCAGTGAGGAGTGAAACACACAGATCACCCTATGCAATTAAATGTTTCAAGGATTCTTCTCTGTGAGAGATGGATCCTAGCCTGGTCTTGGTGGCCGTTAAATCACCTTTGTAAAACACAGTTTTAAAGAGACAGCCTGGCTCATAAAACATCATAGGTAAGTTGTAAATCCGCCGATTTGAGATTTCTGGAATGGAAATACCGATAGATTTTGACCTTTAATGAGCTACTTCCATTATTTAAAAGATTCTACTCTTTTTGTAATAAAGGAACTGAGATTTGTGGATATTTTATGGTGTATTGGTTTCAGTTGGATTTTACCTTCAGTCATTTCAGCAAAAATCAGGAGGTTTCCCGGGTAGTGGAATTTCAGACATGCATGCATGCTGAGAGGGAAGCTGAGGGGAAATGATGTTTTGATTTCTTCACGACTCCTTTCAGACACCCATTCCCATGTCCAGGTTCTAAGGACTCCATTTCCAGAATGCGCACTGTGCTGACCACTCTCTGTTCTAATCAGGTGACACGCTGAAGCCAGTGACTGCCTTCTCACTTGTTCAAGGCATTCATACTCTGCGCAGCCTGGGACGGGCAGAGCCTAGGAGTGAAAAGCACAGATGGCAAGTTGGTAGCATCAACATTTCTCCAGCAACAAAATTGGGAAATCAAAATGTCAAACAAGACATAAAAACTAGACACCTCAAGCATGTAATCGTATATTTATTTCTCTTTTTAAAGAACACTCCTTAATGTAATTCAATATACAAACTTGGTTTCACAGAATTATAATCCACTATATAGCACAAAGATAACCCAGATTGTGTGTGTGTGTGTGTGTGTCTGTGCGTGCACACACGTGTGTGTGTGCCCATGTGTTGTACCCCTTCCCTTCCTTCCACTCATCGGAACCTACAAACAAAGGCTCTGCCCATTGTCAACGCTAACCAAAGCCCATTCTGAATGTTATATACAAAAGACAGCATCCTCCCACAAGTTCTTTTCCCTGGTAAGCCTCTTTTCCGTTCCCCCTGAGATAGCCAGGGGTCTGACACTCTCCCCTTCTGCAGTAGGGTCAAGTGGCTTCCCCCAGAGCTGATGTCAACCCTGTTACCGTGCAGACTGGCTGACAGAAAAGGCTGGGGAGCAGGTCTCCCTGCCCTTCCCCGCTTCCACACCCACCTCAGTCCAAGCGCGACCCCTCTGGAGTAGCCTCAGTCACCATCTCTTGCAGCAAGAACCAAGGAGATTGCTAAGCCCAGGTCTTCTCCACGGGCAGCGCACAGCACCGCCTGCCAAGCCACCGGGCCGGCCGATAACCAAGCTCAACACAGTCCAATGTGCTTTGTCACTTTAATTTTTAAAGACACCCTAGCATAGGCCTGTGGCAACCTAGTGTCCAACTGAGTTACATAAAATTGTACCAGTGATGCACTTGTACATATTTACATGGGGCGGAATGTTTTCCCATATTTTTAGTTGAGTATATAGATCAACATGTTCACATAAGACCAAATACTTTTAATATTATTTATAACTGATTTATAAAGCTTTGAAAAAACTCACAATAGCACATTGTTTACTTTAATGCTTTACGGTACTATCAGTTTAAAATCACAATCAGCACTTAAGTTATAGTCAATCCAGCAAACAAGAGACAAAAAAATTTACAAGAGTTAAGAACTGACTGATACATCCTTTATCTTTTTTTTTTAACTAATGCATAAGTGCAGAATAAGATACTCTAGTTTAAATATCTTGTTTACAATATACATTTTTTTGTTCTAGTTACGCAACAATAAACCCCATGCTTCACATAGAAAAGCAATCCACAACATTAAGAAAAAATGTACAATTTATGAAACAAAGTAAATAAATATTAGTATTACAGAATCAGAGCTGTACATAAAAGCTGTTCAGTTTTAATCATATAAAAATATGTTTTAGTGCAACCTCACATATATATTGATGCTGTTTTGCTTTACATCATTTAGATCCAAGTGTCCAAAAAAGGAAAGAAATTACATTTATTACAAAGCAGATACACAAATTCTAAAATATGTACAAATTACTGCTAAAAAATGCTTATAAGAATATAAGCAAAGTAAAGAAAAGGCACAAACATCTGTACAATTTTAAAAGTACCAGACCCAATAGGTTAATTTCAAATTTTGTTTTGGTCAGGCTCATGATGACTTGTTAATTTACCTAATTCTTCTGATATAACAAAAGTATATATAATAGCAAACTACCAGTAACTTAGGACAGGCATGCTATAAACTTGATTACCTCTATTTCTAGAAAAACGAAAACAAAAACAAATGGGAGAATGTGGAAATGAAAGTCTCCATGCATCTTAGATCAATGTAGTTGACTCTTCTCTGAAGCCGATTCCTTGCCTTCCTCTGTGCTTGAAGGTAATTCCTTGCTGTCTTGAAAGCCCGACTGTTGGTCATCCAGACAACTCTTGCTGTAAAACGTGGAGTGAGCGAATGCAGTCTGGGATGTACCAAAATTGTCCTTTTCACCATCATGCAAGTCAGGGTGGGTGGCTGAGGTACAGGGCTGGCCTGGCTCAGGCCCACTAAAGTGTCTAATGCTAGCCTGTGCACTTTCCAAGGGTTTCTGATGAGGCGCTTGCCCCCGAGCTGACTGATCTGCCCCCAGCAGAGCGGCCTCTTCTGTGGCAATCCGGAGGGAGGCGATGGCTTTTGTGCAAGTCTGGATGTTTTCCTCCTGTTCCCGCTCGGTGGCATTCAGGCTGTCCTCTGAAGTGCTCTGTTTCATCAGCAGCCGCGGAGAGGAGGCCGTGCTAGGTGGACCAGATGACTGGGGAGCGTGAGGCGACCGCTTCCCGGGCGGCTTCGAACCTGCATGGGGATCCTTGGCGAAGGAGTCCCCCGAGGCGCCCCTCTTCTCCTCGGAGCCCTCCATTGGCAGAGGCAATGTGGGTGGGGGGTGGACACCGGCAAGGGCCGGCGGGATGGAGTGAACCATTTGGATCCCACCGACTGGCACCATGGGGATAGGAGCTCGCACTTGCTGCTGAGAGTGGAGTGGAAGGTGGCTGAAGACATAGTCAGTGGGACCCTCAGGGAAAAGGCTGGGGCCTGGATGTTCATAAGCACCTTCTTGGTCTCCATAGAGACTGAAGTAAGGAACCTGAGGTAATCCTCTTCTTAAATTCTGCATCGGGGACACAGAGAGACAACACTTAGGACCCACTGTGCTTCATGTTTAGGTTAAGCTGATTCATTCATTCATTCATTCATTCACTAACTCATTCCTTCAAAACACGTGAAGACTCCCTAATCTCTCTATCACTCTTTCATTCCTCAAGACAAAAGAGGTTTGCTCCGTCGTCTTTTAGGATTCTTGAATGAAGCAGGTAGGTCTGTGAAAAGTTGCTTTTGTTGTTAAACAGGAATGTGATAAAACCTGCAGTGTGTTTTCCACTAGGTACAGAGACTGTCCAGCTCTTTTTTTTTTGTAAGACAGAATGAAAAGAAAATAATGGATAATTACCAGAAAAACTATACTGAGCCAAAAAACACTAATAACAAGTTTTTAAATCCAAAAGAAAGTTAAACGATTACCATCTGTTTATATACTGGGCAGATTTTTAATATTTTTCTTAAGTGTTGATGAATATAAATGGAGTGACAAGCTTGAAAATTAGCTCTCTCTTTTTTTTTTTCTTTTTTAGTCTTCTACAGAACAGATGACAAAATGGTGGTGATACACAAACTGGTCCCTCCAATGTGTAAGACATTGCTCTAAAGAAATAGATTTCTGCTCAGGAGGCATCGAGGCAGAAGATCAGCACCAGCATCTCCATCAGACCATAATTCAAGGCCAGATTTTGTATGGAAACTATGCATCAAAGTAGTTAATGCTAAGTATTTAAAATAGTTATAATTCGTATTCAACTTTGTGGCTGGGAACCAGAAATGACTATATTTTAATTTTTCTATCTATGTTGTTATTTCCACTTAAATAGCTTCCTGGCAATTAATAAACTAGGACGTTTAAAGTTTGGGGCCAGAATTCCAGATTTCATGGTCCCAGTCCTGAAAATGGAGAACCCATTTTGTATAATTGTTTCTATAGCAAAACCTAACCTAGCTGTGAGATTATCGGGTTTAAATGAGATGACAAAGCTTCAATTAACCGAGATTCATCCTTTTAATGCATGCATGGTCAGTCACTCAGTCATGTCTGACTCTTTGCGACCCCATGGACTGTAGCCCACTAGGCTCCTTTGTCCATGGGATTCTCCAGGCAAGAATACTAGCGTGGGTTGCCATTTCCTTCTCCAGAGGATCTTCCCAACCCAGGGATTGAACCTGTGTCTCCTGCATTGCAGGCAGATTCTTTACCACTGTGCCATCGTTTCAAGAATGTTTCAGATCTAAAATGCAAGTTGTGCTCTATACCATTAGTGATTCATCCAGTTCTAATTAGATTGTGAGACCAGGTTAGGAACGATAAATTATCCACCGTTTCTGCTACTCTGTACCATTCTTGGCCCTTACCCTGTTCTAGGCTTCACCTTATTCAAGCCAAAAACAAATGACTTGTGCTGAAAGTGCAGGAGAAATCATGAAAACATCAATCCTCATAAGCTAAGGACCTCATAAGCTACGTAAGGGAAGAATTCTATGGTATGAGAAAAATCACTGACTGAGACCAAAAATTCCCGCTTGTATTTATTTGCTCTGGTTTTAAAAAGGCATGTTTACTTCATCCAACACTAGGTAAGGTGGAAGATCATAATGCCTACAATAACCACCTGTGAATGTAACCAAATGAATCTTCTTTGGATCACAATGATCACAGATGTAAAGTTTGAAATAAAACATAGCTTGGCTCTTTTTCCATCTTGCCTTTGGTTGCTATTCTGTGATGTCCACGGTATATACCTAATCAGAATGGGGGTTTGTGAGGCAGCCAAAGACAGAGCTGTCCTATTTCATAAGATCTCTGACTCAAGTCCAACAAAGCGAGTGATGAAGTGTCCTCTAAAAATAAGATGTATTCAATCTGTTCAAAAGCCAATAGAATTTTGTGTTAAGAATACAAGTGTTATATTCAGACTTTTACTGACCAGACATTAAATGATTACAACCACAGAAGCGAGTGTACAATTCCTATCACGTAACCACTTCCATGGCTCCAAATACTGCCAAGCCTTTCACATATTCTTTGTCCTCAGACTCACCCCTTCTTCACCCTCCAAATAACTCTCCAAGAGATTTTTCTACTCTAATTTTTACTTCATTTGCAACCTTATCTTGTTTTACAATTTGAGCCTTACCATTTTAATATGAATAAAATCCCACCTTACTTAAAAATCTTGACACAGAAATATGAATAATGAATGCCTGTGTGGGTTGTGTTAAGTGTATGCATATGTATGTGTATATCTATCTGTATCCTATGTACCAGATATTTACCCCAACTCATCTTTTCAACAGTGTCAGTAGGTCCTCTGGAAGCAAAGGATGAGAAGGAGGTAGAGATACAGGAGTTCTGGCTGGGGTTGGTGACGGGGAGCGGGATGTAAGGTATGTGACGGAAACAGGGAGAGGAAACAGGGGGTCAGCTGGAACTGATCCAGGCTCAGCCACGATAGAGGGCGCAGGGGAGAACGTGGCCTTGGCTTGAAGACGGAGGTCTATCCTGAAGGTTCCAACATCAGGAGGCTGTTA